TTGCTGCCTTTGTTGTTTGCTGTTCCCTCGCTTGTTTTCTTCCCTCTTCCATCAAACTTCCTCTATACTTCCTGGCCTGAGTGTTGCTGTGGTTTGCCTTTTATGACTCTTAAAAGGCACTGAAGTATCTCTATTCTTTCTGAACATTAAACCAAGAGACCATTAAGTGCCATCTTGGACCCAATCCAATCAGGTTTCGGTTCAATGGCTTAAAGCTGGATGCTCTGGTTGTTTTTCTTCTTTTTCCTGTTAGACACACTTTAAAAATTCCCCGCGCCCCCCCTTTAATCCTCTGGGTTCCATGCCACTCCAGATGTATAAGATTACTAGAATTTTGGCCTCTGGGATAACTGAGGTGTTGCTACAAAACATATAGGTTTACTCTTTAACAGTTAGGAATGTGCTAGAACAATAGCATTTCTTTTAGTTAGAAGTTAAAAAAAAATTTCCAAATTGTTGAAAGCTGCATATTATCAGAATTGTTTTTCTGGCTTTCTTTTAATATAATTTATTCTCTATATTACTTAACTTGGCTGCTGTTTTATAGGAGTAACTATTTTTCTTTATTTAACAGGAAAATGCTACTGCTGAGTACGTACGATAGTATCATTTCTTTTTCTGTGTGCGGAGAAGACACACCTGAAAGGTCTAAGACACCTGGTCTAAGACACCTGAAAGGTCACCGTGTAACAGCTCCCAAAACAGTGGCTGGCATCAAGGACCTCTGTGAAATTCACCTGGAACCCTGCCCTATTCCTGATGACGCATGCTGATGGACAGGGGCAAACTGTAACTTCAGTCACTCTAGAGGGATAATAGTTCCAGTCTGTTCCATCTGATAAGGATGGAGTGATAGAGCAGCTGAAGGTTCTTGTACAATTATGAAACCCTTTAGTCACTGAAGGTGGGCATCAGTGGAGATTTGGGGGCTTGCCACAAAACTGGTGTAAGGGATTATTAACTCAGATAATAATTTAAAACAAAAAACAAAACAGTAATGTTGTCTTTATACATGCAGAACCCCTCCACTCTGTAATCCAGATGTGTCCAGGGGTGACTCTAACACACCCATTAGTGGCAATTAGCTTGGAGCCAAACTGTTCTTGCTCAGCTTAAGGTTAACTGTTAAGAAGGCACATCTTTCTTGGCAATGTCTCTGACACCACCCTCAGCCACCACAGACAGGGTGCACTCTACAGCTGCTCCTCTGAGCAGAAAGCCCTCCCTTACCTCTGTCGTTAATGGCTGGTTTTATGGGGGACTGGTGCCCACTCTGACTTTTTTGCTGCACTGCAATACTGCAGCACCGGCAAGAAAAGTGGCAAAAGAGAACAAAGCCCAATCTCTTTGAGCAAATATTCCTTTTGTAATATTCCCCCACTCCTAGACTTACTATCCTACATTTTTCTTCGGGGAGCTGAATTGCTCTGCTTAACCTAGTAACATAACTGATCAAAGCCTTCCTCGAATTCCCCTCATCTTTCCAGAGTCTCTGTGGCCAACCTCCAGAGCCTTTCTACACTACTTTAAAAAGGGGTTACATGTGAAAATTGTGTTTATTTTATTTCCTCACTCATTTTAATATAAATGTAACATCCATTTTCACCAATTATAATTCATCAACAATACGAGGAGTTTAATTTTAAGCATTTTCATTTTGGACCTATAGACTACAGCTCCTTAACTGCAACATTAGTGATATTTGTGCCGGATAATTCTTTGTTGTGGCAGGTTGTCGTGTGCTTTGTGGGAATTTATTAGCAGCCCTGACATCTGCCTTTTAGATGCACACTGCCCTGCTTTGTGACAACCAGACATGTCTCCAAACATTGCCACATGTTCCTTTGGGGCAAAGTCACCCCGAGATTGAGAGTCGCTGATATAAACCAACTATTAACCTTTTTGTCAGTGAAGATATAGCAGGCAGAAGCATCATTTCTTCCTTGGGTGTCTAAAGGAAAAAAAGAAAAGAAAGTACGTTTTGGTCAGACATGGTCTCTGTTCTTTCCTCAGTTCCTAAAAGCATTTTTATAAATGTTTTCTGGGCAAAGTTTCTCAGATCAATCCATTGCTATCTGTTCTCTTGCTCAATGCTTTACCTGAATGACAGTATACGAAATCTATTTTATACACAGGATCTCATTTAATTTCCACAGTGATAAGATGTGGTACTCACAGCCAGTTAGCTGGCAAGCAGCAGGGTGTCATGGAAAGGAAGATTTGGAGGAAGACAGGCCAGAGCTTCAATTCTGGCAGCCCTGTTCACTGGCTATGAAAACTTAGAATAGATACATGAATTATGTGTAACTGAATCACTTTGCTGTACACCTGAAACTATCACAACATTGTTAATCAACTATACCCCAATATAAAATAAAAAGTAAATAAAAAAAAAAAGAAAGAAAAGTCAGGCCAGTTCTTCAGCTTCTGTGCCACTCAGTTTTCTCTTGGAAATGTGCGGTTACTATCTTGGAGAAATGTTGGGTGAATTAAAATGAGGAGAGATGTGTGACAATATATCTCACTTAGTGGAGGCTTAAGCAGTGATAGCTTTTTGTGTTAGAACACCAAGACCAGAGCTTTGTGGACTACCCCACAGCTGCATACTGAAGCAGCTTTCTCAATAGCAGCAGATTTTGCCCCCATTCTGGTCACAGGCCTCTTTAGGGACCTGATAAATAGAAAAGCCCTCAAATGCAACACAATTTCAGGAGATTTCCATATTCCCCAGAAGAGTATATTAAACTGTAATCATACAGTATTTGTTCTTTTGTGATTGGCTTATTTCACTTAGCATAATATCTTCAAGGTTCATCCATTTTATAGCATATATCCCTCTAATGAGAGCCTTCCGATTTCACCTTTTCTTCTAGTCGACTCAGTAAGTGATCCAAATTGTTTTCCTTGCCCATTGCTTTAAACTGGCACCCCCTTCTAGGGAAACAAATGGGTTCCAAGTCCCCTGATGTTAGTGGTTGGCCAACAAGGCTTTGAAATAAGCCATTGGTCTGGTAGAGTGCAAGCAGGCTTGCCAATTTCCGAGCAATAGACATTTAGCATCAGAGAGAAGTAAACCTTTGACGTGTTAAACCCCTCAGATACAGAGGTTGCGTATTACTACAACATAACCCAGTCTAGACTTCACTTCCTATTTCAGTGAGAAAATAGAGGCAATCAGAAGAGAGCTCCACAATCTCCCACAACCACAACTGCCGTTAATTAGTCACCATATATTCTCCCTTCCTCATGTTTTATGGATGAATGCTCCATATTCCTAAGACCAATCTTTCATCTTGTACCCTAGATTGTATCCTCTTCTATCTACTCAAGGCCGTCATTCCAGTATTTCTCTCCTTTGTCTCCTACAATACGTCATTAATTTTCCCTCTCTACTAGATCACCTCCGTCAGTAAACAAAAATACTGTAACATCTCCTGTCTTAAAAAGAAATCTTTCCTCCAGTAGCCCCACTCATTTTAAATGAGTTGCATTTCTCACTCCTGTTCTCTCTGGAACATCTCCAGGTAGGGTTCTGCTTGCCCCAGCAGACCAAAGCTGCTCTTGTCAAGGTCAGTAGTGACAATGAATTTGCTAAATCCAGTAGTCAAATCTGTCTTTATCTGATATAATGTTGACTTAATTGATCACATTCCTTCCTTCTTTAAGTATTTTCTTCATCTGGCCTCCAGGACACAACCACCTCTTAATCCTCTACCTACTTCACTGGCCACTTCTTTCTGGTCTCCCAAACTCTAAACGTTGGTTTGCCTGAGAGCTGAGGCTTCAGACATCTTTTCTTCATCCACACTTTTCCACCAGGTGGTCTCATCCAGTTGCTTGGTTTTACAAACCATCTTATGTGCTGATGACACAAAGTTGTCACCCTTCCCCTGACCTCCCGATTTATCTCTCTACTAGGATCTCTAATAGGTCTCTCAACATGTCCTAAACTAAACTTCTGATTCCTACCCTTCCCCACAACCTACTCTTCTTGCAGTTTTCTCTGGCTCAATACATAGCAACTCCATTCTTTCAGTTGGTCAGGCCAAGATTCGTGGAGTCATCATTGACTCCTCTCTTTCTCTCATACCCCATGTCCAATCTGTCACAAATCCTGTTAGTCCTACCTTTAAATTGTACCCCAAATTTAACATCTCACCACCTCCACTACTAGAATCCTGGATTAAACCAAAATCATCTCCCCAAAGAATTACTTCAATAGACTCCTAACTGGTCTTCCAACTTCCTTCCTCCCTATAGAGTCCATTCTCCATGGTACCCTCTCTCATTGAGTCCTTCAGTATGCATGTCACTAAGTGCCTTTAAAAACTGGTACCATCGGTTTTTGATAGAATTAGGACAGATAGTTGAGACAGGCCCTGACCAACTTTGGGGGATTCTTCAGCACTTGAGGTGTCAGGGGGTTGTGATTTCAACATGGAATTGTATTCACTCCCTAGCCATTTATACTAACCTCTAAAGTTCTCTAGCTATGGCTAGCCTCCAATCCTTCCAGTACTTTTGTCACTCCTAACTAATGTCTCCCTTCCAAAGCATCTTCCTTGTGCCTCTGTTAAAATGTTTATAGATTGCTCGCCTTGAAGTAGGGTTCCTTATCGCTCCCTGTAGTCAGAGGCTGAATTGCTAAAAGGCAAGATTTTGGTGCATTATGGCATAACCTTCCTCCACCTCCTCGGCACCCCAACCCCTCTGTCCCTCCCCAAGGAACTGCAATCCCTTTAAAAGTTTGATGGAGTTCAGTTGAGCGGAGTTTAGCAAACAAGTAATGCATACCTAGATGCTCCAAGTACAGTGCCTCTGCCTTGGATGGTGCAATGCCCAACTGCAGCCACTACGGCCAGGAAGGTGGAAGACTGGACAGAACAGTCGGAGAAAACCAGGGTGAGGAAATGGAGAAGGAGTAAGGAGAGGAGGAGAGGGAAGGAGGGGTAGGGAGGAAGAATGGGAGGAGCTTCAGTGGGAGGGGCTTCGGGGGGAGGAGCTTCGAGCGGCGGTCGCGCTGCTGGCTCAGACCTGTCGGAATCGGTGGCCGCATGGCTGCGCCCATCTCGGGCCGCGGGGCCCGGGACCTGCTGCAGTTCCTGCGGCTGGTGGGGCAGCTCAAGGTGAGCGGGCGCCGGGAGGGCCGCCTGGGGCCGGGGTCGCGGCTGCGCGGAGAGAGGCCGGGGCCGGCCGTGGGGCGACGAGGCTCCTGCTACCCACCTGGCCCGAGGCCAGCCCCCTTCCTCAGTTCTCCCGGCCTCTTGGGGTCGACCGAGGAAACCCCTCCGGATGGATGCGGTCGTGCGTCCGGACCGTGGTCGGAGGAAGCAAGTGGCGGAGACTGCGTGGCCGGGCTGCTAGGGCCGACCCCAGGCCGGGAGGAGTCCGAGACGCGCTGTTTCCTGTGTCGGCCTGGCGCTCCGATGGGGCCGGCCCAGGCGGCCTTTCGAGAGGTTTCTGGAGGGTGATGTTTCCGGCGCGGTGATGTGCTGGTCCCTCTGCCCGTGTCTGCCCCGAGTACTTTTGGGGCTCACGACCCCACAACCGGCCAAGTGGGAAGATCAGAACCCATTGGTCCTGCAGGGTTTAAGTGGAGTGCTTAAAATCTGTCTCACAATTACTTATAGAAATAACAAGACTTTTTTTTTTTTTTTTTTAACGGAGGATTTTATGTAGCACACACTGGAGTTACATCCCAGGGGTCCTCCTCCTGCCGGTCCACCCCTGGCCACACGTTTTGCAGAATTTCTCCAAGTTCAAAGCAGATTATCTCTTTCATGCCATTGTTTCTACAGTTCATAAAATTCTTTAGAAATGTGAACTCCCGAGTCTCACAGGATCACATCATGATCTGAGTAAAAGGAAGAGTCATGACTGGTGGGTAGCATGAAGCAGTTAGAAATGCCTTATCCTTTCTGCTTCAGAATTTGGAAGTCTGTCGCTTGTTCACGACGCTTTCACCACAGTGTTTTTTACTTGTGTCTAATGAGTTGTTTGAAGTAAAATTTACCAACTCTTATAGTTAGGAAAGATAAGATACTTTACAGTTTTGTTCTTATGTTTTAAGGACTTGTATATGATCTGTACATCAGTAAATCGGTAACACGGAGTAACTTGACTTTTGGACTTATGTATTGTATACTTGTGAATTATTCCTCCCTCCCTCTCTCTTTCTCATTCTCTGCCCTCACTGGTTTATTTGATTCCAGAAGTTGATCATTTAGGTCAGTTAAGTGTTTTTTAATATGTACTGAAACCGTGACCCAGCTTCTGTGCCCTGTTCCCTGGACTTCTCTTGAAGAGCACCGTAGATTGTTAAAATACTTATTTTTATCAATTGTTTTCTGTTCATTTTTATCAGAGAGTCCCACGTACTGGCTGGGTATACAGAAATGTCCAGAAGCCAGAGAGCGTATCAGATCACATGTATAGGATGGCAATTATGGCTCTGGTGACCAAAGATGAACATCTTAACAAAGACCGGTAAGCTGTGAACTTTGGTGCCAGTTAGGGTCTGTGGGTATGCATGACTCTTCATGACTGAGGCCTGTGTCAAATTCTTGTAGCTTAGTGTATATGTCAAGAAAAATTACTTGAGGCAAACCATACAGATTCAGGATGTGGGAAGGGGCACTATATGCTGATCACTTCAGTTGTTGTAAACTGTACTCTGGGTTTTCTCCTGGCAAGTGAAAGAGCCTGCCTTGGTCTCAAGGAAACTTAAGTGTGATGTGAGGGTTTCCAGGGCCTTGAAAGTAAAGTGTCTTTTGTCTAAAATTGTATCCATACACTGTGTGTACCTTCATTTCACCCCTTTTCTGAATAGTAGCACTTATTTGTGAAGTGACGTTTTGAAATTGTATGTGCAGCAAAGAGCTGAGAAAGATATCCTCTCTCCCTTCAGTCAACCAACAAGTGTTTAAAATGCTTTTTGAGGGACTTCCCTGGTGGTCCAGTGGGTAAGACTCCACGCCCAATGCAAGGGCCCTGAGTTTGATCCCTGGGTGGGGAACTAGATCCGTCATGAATGCCGCAACTAAGACTTGGCTCAGCCAAAATAAATAAATAAAATAAAAAATAAAATGCTTTTTGAGCGCAGGACAAACTTTCCTAGCAATACAGTATAAGATAGTAAATAAAACCCAGATGAATTACACAGGCCCAGAGTGGCTTCCATACAGAGCACAAAATAAATTAAGTTAGAAAATTTAACCGAAGAGATCACCTGTTCTTGGGCGGTCTTAATGGAGGATACAGAATCGGAGTTGACCTCTAAGGTGCTGATTAGGTGGAGAAGTAGAAGACAGCACATAAAGAGAAGGGCAGAGAAACCAAATCTCTGATGGTAGGAAAGTAAAGGTATATTTTGGAATTGATAAGTAAATCAGATTGATTGAAACAAAGGTCCATTAGGGAGTCTCCGGAGGCCTGTTACTCTGTAGATGGTGTAGAATTTAGGAGATTTTTGGCAGATAGTACGAGATGAGCACGGTGTCAAATGGAGAGGCTCGTAAGGACAGTCTGAGATTTGAACTAGATGAGAGAGCAACTGCAGGCAGGGACACCTGTGAGGAGGCTGTGAGGCCTTCTGCCTTGGTGATGGTGGGAACATAAAACAGACTGGCCCTCTGGGGCATTTATCTCATGAACTGCCTTTATTATTTTGATGGTGATTATCCTAATCATTATCACTAATAATTACAATCATTTGTTGAATAATCAACATGTTTCAGGAACATAAATTATCAAATTTAGTTTTCATACCAAAGTTAGGAAGTATTATTACCCCTTTTTACGGATGTTAAAAATGAAGGCTGCAAAACTCAGCATTTAAAGAAATTAAGTACCTTGGCAAAGGTCACACAGCTATTAGATGTTGATTGCTGGATGCAAACTCAGATCTGTCCAACTCTACCCATTTCTCTAGAAAGGGCATCATTTTGACATCTGACTAGTACATTGGGGAAATGATAGTTTTTGAATTTTGTATCAGTAAGTAAATGCTCTAACTAGATCACCTCCTGGCTTTTTAATCTAAAGTTAGCAACCTTTTAAAGTGACATTTGAGAAACCAGCTATTTTTTTTTTAATTCATGCTAACAATTTCCCCTGTATTCTCATGTATTGTGCTGAATATTAACTAGCAGTTTTGACTCAGAACTGTTGCAGGCTGGCAGAATATAATTACTTTAGGAAATACTGCATTAAAATAAAATACTCTGTGAGGCTGGAGAAAGAAAACTATATTATGTAACTTCAAAGTAGTATAGAGAAGGAATCTGTAGTGAATATAATTCTGTGTAATTATTCACCATTTCTTGCCTGGCCAGATGTGTACGCCTAGCCCTGGTTCATGATATGGCAGAATGCATCGTTGGGGACATAGCACCAGCAGATAACATCCCCAAAGAAGAAAAACATAGACGAGAAGAGGTCAGTGTTGACTGTTGACTCCACAAAAGACCCCCAGAAAAACCCACTGAGGAAACAAAGCTAAGTTTATTAGACCTATTGCAGTAAGGGAGAGTACCTCCTTGACGGAGTTTTAGTAGTGTCTCAGAAAGGAGGGTGAAGGGAGGGTATTTATAGAGTTTTAGGGCCTGGGCTGGAGGATGTTTGGATGCATCTTACAAGAGGAGCTACTATCTTACAAGATGGGATTGCATAGAGTTTAGGACATAATAACTTTGGGGTGGTAGGGCTGGTGAGCCAAGGTCTTAACAAGCGTCTTGAAGGGTAAGCTGTTAGTGCTTACTCTATTTTGGGTGGTTTACAATCTTACCTTCCAGAAGTAAGGATTTCTTGGAATAAGCAGTGAATTGCTTAGGCTTATTCTAAGCCTTGTTTAACACAGAGACAGGGCATTTTGTTGGTTTCAGTTCTCATGGAGGGGCATAGAGGGCACCTGAACACAGAGTACAGATAGTACGGCTTTCAGTAGGACAATGGAAATAGCTGGAACTTGAAGGAATTCTCCATGCTAGTTTAAGCTCTTTGGAGAGAAGTTCTATAAAGCCCAAGAATAATCATTATTATAATTAGTATTTAGTAAATTTTAAATTAGTCCTTTGATTTAGTGGTTAAAAGTAAAGAAAAAATTTTGTATTAGTAAAAAATGAATAACATCAATAAAACATTGTCTGCTGATTTGGACTCTAAACCAGAGTCCAGGGACAAAGAGGAAGACATATTTGAAACAGAGACTGGAAAATCCAGGAACTTTTTTTTTAAAATGCTGAATGGCTGGTTCCCAATTCAGGGATTATTGCAAGCTGCTTTTGTTGTAGGCCAGAGAGATTGATCCTAAATATCTAAGTCAACAGATCCTTCATCAAGGTGGTTTAACAGGGAAGGTGGGCTTAAATAGCTGTTCTCGGAGCTGGCGGAGGCTAGAGCTCAGTAGCCAACAGCATTTTTGCCCCTCTAGAGGCAAGAAGATCTATAAGGAATCTCAGTTTAGGAGTTCCAACACACCCTAAATTATGGTAGTAAGGGGAATAGTGTAAGGAATGTGTTCTTAGTGTAAATACAGGTCCAGAACACATGAGCATCATGACAGTCTGTGAAAAGGGAGGAGCTAAGGAAATGTTTCCCTGTAGGAGTCTAGACTGTCCTGAATAAAGAACTCCTAGGTTGACTGGCAGGATTAACACAAAAAGAAAACAATTAGCTCATTTGTTGCTGAGTTGCGGAGAGGAGTTAGCCCCAAACCAGAGGATGTTGGGTATTGACATATGACATAGAGAAAAAGGAGGAGGAAAAGACTCCTCAATTATATAGCACATTTCAGGATGTACAATAGTTTCATTCAAGGGTAAATGTATACCTTGTGGAGGAGAAATCACATACTGAAGTACCAGAGGGTGATCAGAGACCCTTAAAGTGACACAAAGGAAGAAGAGAGTGTTCCCGTATAGGCACACAAGGAATGTGAGGTTCATTCCACAGAGGAGCGAGTCAGAACCTTCTGAAGAAAAAACATTCAGTAGGAAGGATCTCCAACCACTGGAGACAGAGAAAACCCACCTCTGTCCTGACAGAAGCTGAGTCCTGGCTAGTGACACCCCCCGGAGCGGGGCATAGAGGGGACTTGACACTCAGTGCTGCTTCTTCCTGGACGCCGTATGCAAGCAATGATGAAAAGCCTGCCCAGCCTCATTAAACCTCCTGGCTGCTGCCCACTCCATCTGATTTACAGGAGAATAAATATCATCAGAAGGGACAGGGGAAACATCTTAAAGAACCCCAAGTTCTTGGACAGGAAACCAAAGGCTTGGGGAGTGCTGATACTCCATTGCCTCTTCCTCTGCTAGTTAGGATTTGGGACAGAGAAAAAGATCTGGGAGGTGAACAGTTCTTTATGCAGATGGTGTTCATGAATAAGATGTGGATGTCTGAGCCATAACTTAAGATAATTAAATGAGGGTTTCTTGGCTCCTTGAGGTGGAATGCACATACTGAAAACCAGGAAGTATCATTTGCCCAGAGGCTAGCCAACGGCATCAGAAAGGCTTTAAACCAAAGTAGGAATGGGAGGAAAAATACTTGATAAAATTGGAAGGCTGATTGTCTTGGAGGAGAGTAGGTATTAAGATGAAAGGGAGAATGAAGGTGTAGAAGAGAAAATTCAGGGGGGCCAAAAGTAATACTTGTAGTCTGACTCCTCTCCTAAACAGGATAAAATAAACTTCATATTATAACCCTAGTTGGTAAATGATGCCTGGTAGGGATCATTAAGAAGTAGTGGGATGAAGCTTGACTCTGGAATATAGCAATAGCAGGTTATATTCCTTTGCAAAGGGAAAACTTATTAAAACAGAAGGCAGAGTTATGATATATATGTACCTGAGAGTTAAAGTTGCTGAAGAACTAGAGGTTAAAAGGGGAAGAACAAAACTTTATTATGGGAGTAAACATGGCAAGATGGAGAAAGTGAAAAATACAGTGAACATTTTACAGAGTGCTTTTCCTGTGCCAGATAATGAGCACTTTATATATATATTAACTATTTAATCCTCACAGCAATCCTTTCAGGTAGGTACCACTATTAACCCCATTTTACAGATGAGAAACCTGAAGGACAAAGAAGTAACTTGCACAGGGTTCCACAGCTAGTAAATGGCAAGCAGGGTTTCAAACCCCATCTGTATCTACAGTTTGTCATTAGCTGTTGCACTCTTCAGCCTCACCAAAGATGTGTGAGTAATGAATACTGCTCTCTGGGTGCTTGTCACAAAACTGACAGACATTTGCTGAAAGCTTCACTCAGCTCAGAACTGTAGGCAGATTCTTGACATGCTTTGCTAACAGGAAGAAGCTAGGGAGATTATCACTCTAAATCTGTGTGAACAAGACAAAACTCAGTTTAGAAGTGGGAGTGGCAGGGCTCACCATCAGGCAGGGAAAGTCTGACATCTTCAGCCATTTGTCCTGGACTTTAATGAAGTCGATTTCAGTGGCTCATTTGAAAAGGTAGGCATGATTCTGTGGCATATGAGGCCAAACAAGGAATAACAACTAAGAGGTCTCAAAATGCAATTCTGATTGTATAATAACAAATGATATCAATGAGTTTAGGTCCAGAAAATCATTGCTTAATTTCAGGAAGAGAGCAAAAACGTATTTGTTTGCTATGTATTGTTTTTTAAAAGACATGGTGATTTTAGTCACCAGGAAGCTTATTAATAAGTCAATAATCATATGTGATTTCCAAAAAGCCAACTCAGCCTTGGGCTGCATTTATAGAAATAGAGCATTTGGCACGATGGAAGCTTTGGTTCCATTGTGTTTCGGGGTCAGACCACATATCAATCACCGTATTCAGTGCTGGGTGCATCGCTCTGAAGGAAATAAAGTAATCCCTTGTCACAGCAGGACTTTTATGTTTATATGCTAAAAGTTTAGATTTTGATATGTTTCTGTACCTATATGTTATTCAGTTCATTCTTTTCAAACAAAAGCAATGGGCAAACTTATGTTTCTAGAATGGTGTAGAGAAAAGCGATCTCTTTATAAAGACACTATTAATTTTTGAAAGTGCAAAGTATTTTCTCAAATATTTTGCTGAGATTTATGAAAAAGAAACAAGGGAGAACGCAGGTGCAAAATACTCTAAATTTCATACCACTAAGCCTGCTGTAATGGTACAAACCATTCAAGATGGTGATGTTAGTTACAAGAGCAGATTGTTGACACTGGCCAATATGGTTTGCTCTGGAAGTGGTTGTATTCTATAACATTTTTTTCTCCCGGTAATAAATAATTATATATACAAATATTCATTTTTATTTTTATTGCTTTTTCCCATCTCACCATTTGATTTTATGTGAGACCTTTGCCACTTTTATATACCCACTTTGCCAAAAGTGGTTCTTACAACCATGTTCTTTTCAAAGAGCCTAAGCTCGAGTTAGAAGAACTGGCCCAGATTAAGAGGCATAGGATGAGGATAGTGAAGGAACTGGAAGCCTTTGAGAGTAGATTGCAGACCTCATGCCCCCAAAGTGTGATATTTTAGAATTTTGGAGCAACATAGAAATGAAGGAAGAGATGGGAATGAGAGGGGCTCCTGGGACTTGGAGACTAGAAATACATACTGAACACCCTCCATGCTCTCACTCTCTCATCTCTGCTTTTCTGTGGATTTTGGCTCTCCAGGCTCTACTCGGGGCTTCTGTCTCCCAGCCTGTGCTGGACAACTCATGCAGATGGTCCCTGAGTGGCTGGTTTGAGTTACATGGCCATCCCTTGGACCAATCACTGGTCACAGAGATTCTGGCCCAGCCGGGCCACTGCTCACCTGTTTGACATTGTGTTTTTATGAGGGAGGAAGGCAGAAGAGCTGGGGCTATAGGCATGGTGGAAGGACTACAGGGACAATTTTCAGCTTGATGTAAGAAAGTACTTTCTACCAATGCTGCCTAAAGCCCATTTGGGTAACCTCTTGAGGTGCTAGGTTCCCACCACTGGACATGTTTATGGAGGGAGACTAAGAAGTGCCCAGTGATGCTGCTGGATGGTTTGGCTCATTACCCTTTAACATCTCTTTTCAGTCTGTGAGTCTGTGAGCCTACAAAATGCTGCTTGTAGTTTCCTTTATGTTAATAACAATATCTGCCCATTTGTGTAGTGCTTTACATTTTGCAATAAAAACATTTTAACAGTAAAAAATGAACATAATGGTATACAAAAAATTTCTTTGAGATTTGTAATTCACTGATACTTTCCTGTTCTCCCCACACTCAGGTTTGTTTTGAACTCTAGTATGCTTATGGTTGAAATTCATGTGGGCATCTTGCAATTCATCCACAAGATGTAAAATCCATAAAACTCTTAGAGGAAAACATAGGCAGAACACTCTATGAAATAAATCACAGCAAGATCCTTTTTGACCCACCTCCTAGAGTAATGGAAATAAAAACAAAAATAAGCAAATGGGACCTAATGAAACTTAAAAGCTTTTGCACAGCAAAGGAAACCATAAACAAGAAAAATATACAACCCTCAGAATGGGAGAAAATATTTACAAACAAAGCAACAGACAAAGGATTAATCTCCAAAGTATACAAGCAGCTCATGCAGCTCAATATCAAAAAAAAAACACAATCCAAAAATGGGTAGAAGACCTAAATAGACATTTCTCCAAAGAAGATATACAGATTGCCAACAAACACATGAAAGGATGCTCAACATCACTAATGATTAGAGAAATGCAAATCAAAACCACAATGAGGTATCACCTCACACTGGTCAGAATGACCATCATCACAAAATCTACAAACAATAAATGCTGGAGAGGGTGTGGAGAAAAGGGAACCCTCTTGCACTGTTGATGGGAATGTAAATTGATACAGCCACTATGGAGAACAGTATGGAGATTCCTTAAAAAACTAAAAACAGAACTACCATATGACCCAGCAATCCCACTACTGGGCATATACCCTGAGAAAACCATAATTCAAAATGAGTCATGTATCACAATGTTCACTGCAGCACTATTTACAATAGCCAGGACATGGAAGCAACCTAAGTGTCCATTGACAGATGAATGGATAAAGAAGATGTGGTACATATATACAATGGAATATTACTCAGCCATAAAAAGAAACGAATTTGAGTTATTTGTAGTAAGGTGGATGGACCTAGAGTCTGTCATACAGAGTAAAGTAAGTCAGAAAGAGAAAAACAAATACCATATGGTAACACATATACATGGAATCTAAAAAACAAAAAAGGTTCTGACGAACTTAGGAGCAGAACAGGAATAAAGATGCAGATGTAGAGAATGGACTCGAGGACACGGGGAGGGGGAAAGGTAAGCTGGGACGAAGTGAGAGAGTGGCATGGACGTATATACACTATCAAATGTAAAATAGATAGCTAGTGGGAAGCAGCCGCATAGCACAGGGAGATCAGCTCGGTGCTTTATGACCACCTAGAGGAGTGGGATAGGGAGAGTGGGAGGGAGACGCAAGAGGGAGGAGATATGGGGATATATGTATATGTATATGTATAGCTGATTCACTTTGTTATACAGCAGAAACTAACACAACATTGTAAAGCAATTGTACTCCAATAAAGATGTTAAAAAAAAAAAAAAAGATGGAAGCTCCTTGGCCTTGCTTCTGATATTTCTGTAATCATTTCACACCCTCCTCATTGTCCTTATTTGTGTCTGGTGTGCTGTAGGCCACAAAATAAGTGCTCGTGAATAAATACATATGAACAAATACATTTATTTAATGTACACAACTGCCCTCCTTGTAAGCCTAAATATTGTCCAATATTCTGCTGCCCCTTTGGGAGTTATTTGTAAGAGTTTGAGTCCATTATTTGGCATTTGTAGATGAGTTGTTAAATAAATGTGAATATGATTAAAGTAATGATTTGATATTTCAGGAAGCTATGAAGCAGCTAACCCAGCTTCTCCCAGAGGGTCTCAGAAAAGAGCTCTATGAACTTTGGGAAGTAAGTATATCTGATGGGTCGCTTTTTATTGTAACTGAATTTATATGGCTCATCAGTGTTTTATTTGACTTAGACTATCTCAATAAGCTGTCTCCAACTTGTTGCTTTTTTGGTCGTGTCAGTTTCTCACCTCCCAGCTGCTGCAGGAACTTCTCAGGACTAACAGTAATTTTTCTTCCCATTTCCCTTGTCACCATAAAGCCTGGTACGGATACTGACTCACAGCCCCTGGATTTCCTGATGCATGGCTCTCATCCTCCACCCTGTCAACCTCACACCCCCCCACCCCCGTCTCTGGTCCTTGAAAGGAATGTAGGCTTTGGGGTAGTTCAGAACTGGGTTCCCACCTCACTCACCACTTCCTGGCTCAGTGACCTTGGACTCCTTCCCCTCCCTGAGTCAGTTGTCCATCTCTGAAACCATTAAGGGGTGTTAGGGCTGAGTGAGGTCAAGGCCAGGTGCTGCCATGGAGCCCAGCGCAGAACGTGGGCTCTGTGGGTGTTCAGTCCCTCCCTGGTGCTGTTTTCCAGCAGTGAAGGGAAAACGACAAACAAACCCTGCCTACTGCAGTTTCTCACTCCCCTCCAGCCCCACTGACCCTCCCTTGCTTGAGCCTCTAGCCCCACCCCTTACGCTTGGGTAGCCCTGCCTCTCACTCTCGCTTTTCACGTTTCCTTCAAAGCCCTGCTCCCTCCTCCTGTCTTCTGAACCTGACCTTCCACCTTTTCTTTCACCCCCTAAAACTCATATGTACCTCCAAATAAGACCTTATTTGGAACTAGGATTCTTACAGAGGTAATCAAGTTAAAATGAGGTCATTTGGGTGGGGCGCTTTTCCAATATGACTGGTGTCCTTATAAAAAGGGGAGTTTGGATGTAGAGACACACATATTGGAAGAATACCATGTGAGCATGAAGAAGGCCATCTGTAAGCCAAGGACAGAGGCCTGGAGCAGTTCCTTCCCTCACAGCCCTCAGAAGGAACCAACCCTGCAAATACCTTGATTTCCAATTCCCAGCCTCCAGAACTGGGAGATAATAAATTTCTGTTGCTTAAGCCACCCGGTTTGTGGTACTTTTTACAGCAGCCTTAGAAAACTAATTCTCTCTTTCTTCCTCTTTCCCTGATTCTGTGCAGTGGCTACTTTATTATATTCTTCATTATTTTTTAATTATCTCTGTATTCTCTCTGTTTGGCTCTTTACTGTATCTGTTAGAGTTTTGTACAGTTATAGCTGAAAGAAAGCCTGTTTCCAACTCCCTTATTTTATAGATAAGAAGACTGGAGACTAAAGAGTTTTGCCTTCCCCAAGGTCTCTTAGCCAGCTGGTGACAAAGCAAGGCCACAAGCCTGCCTCCTAACTCAGCATTTTCTTTATGTCATTACGCTGTATGTTAATTAATTGAACAAGCATTTATAGTTCTTATGTATTCATGATACTATGTCAGTTACTTACTATTAATTGTAAGAGACCCTGGGTTTCCAGGGGCTGCTGTAACAAATTACCACGAACTCGGATGGCTTAAAACAACAATGTATTGTCTCACAGTTTTGGAGGCCAGAAGTCCAAATCAAGGTGCTGGCAGGGCCATGCTCCCTGAAGGCTCTGGGAGAGGATCCTTCCTTGCCTCTCCCTAGCTTCTGGTGAATGCGTCTTCCAGCTTTGACATCCTTGCCTTCTGAATACGTTGTTCGAGTCTCTGCCTCCTTAGTCAGGTGATGTTCTTCCTGTGTCTGTATCTGTGCCCAGATTTCCCTCCTGTAAGGATGTCGGTCATGGGAACTAATCCATTATGACTTTATCTTAATTTGATTACATCTGCAAAGACTCTATTTCCAAATAAGGTTACATTCGTGCGTTACAGGTAGACATGATTTTGTGGGAATGCTATTCAACAGAGAACAGACTCTCATATTAACTTACACATGTTTTAGATTCATGTACATTGGCTTCAATACCAGATTTCCAAAGTTCAAATTACTGGCTCCTCTGTTTACTAGCTATTTGATCTTGGGCAACTTACTGAACCTCTCTGTGTCTCAATTTCCTCATCTATAAAATGGTACTAATAGTAGTATACCTATTTTACAGGGTTGCGTGGCAATCAAATGAATATATGTAAAGCAGTTAGAATATTGCCTGACACATAGTACACTCTGTTTTTCTGTCTCCAGTCCATATGTTCTGATTTTGATTTAAGAAAATAGGGTCATTCTGTACCCAGGGAACTGAGTACTAGTTACATAGAAAATGGCAGTTGATCGATTTCTGAAACGTTAATCACTGCTATTCACAACTGTAAATAGCTATCAGCCCACAGGGTCACATCTAGTTAAAGCAATTAGATATCCTCGATTATAATTTATCTTTTACCATAGAAGTGTGAAGTCAAATTTTAGTAAGTCAAGGGAAAACATTTTCATTTTTTTCCTCGAAGTATCACAGAAAGATATCCGCCCTACCACCTGCATTTTGCTTTAAAGAAATAACCCTTGGAATCCCGAGGCAAAGCAAGAGGTGCTCCCTGCCATATGCTGAATGCCTGGCACACTCACCTGCCCTTGGATTGTTTCCCAACATACAGCTGAAGATACTGTTGGGTTAACAAGTACCCCTTAAAAAAGCCTCTCTCTGTTCTATCCTTTGAAGTACAAGTGCAGTATTTTGGTGGGGAGTTTGATATACAGCAACATGAGGGTCCTGGGTCCCAGAGGGAGAGTCACGAGGAGGTGGGAAAGTGGAACACATAAAAGACAAACTTTATATATGTCAGTACTTCATGTAGTGCCAATCTTTCCCCAAGGGAGAGGGAGGTAACCTTTGATCTTCCTCTCCTTTCCTCTCTTTCTCTTTCCTTCGGTCCTCCATGTTGAGAACCTGGAACTTGTATCTCTTTCCTGCTTGAAATCCTCATCCTTCTGTTGTTCTGAAAACCCCAATCAGAGCTGCATCTAATAAAAACCAAGAAATCTTCAGTGATTCACATCACATCACCCTGCTGAGAAAGCATGACAGGTTCATTATCTGAACACATCTAGGGTGGAATTACAAATGAGAACTTGGCAGGGAAATCAGTTGGGAATACTTTGGTCTTAATAGAAGAATGGTTCTATATAGTATTAATTGGGACTGGTGGTTTTGTGACATGTGTCATGCAGTATGAAGCAGACTGCCTCTTATTTCTGGTCTGCACTGAGGAGGGAGGGAACAAAGGGAAGAGGAAAGGTAAAAAAGCCACACCCCGTCCGCTACCTTCACCGCCTCCCTGCCACCAACACATGCACATACCCATGGCATGAAGAGTTCTCAGACCCTGGCTGTATCCTCAAGAGTCATAACCCGGAGGGACTTGATTAACTCCTCCCTATTTGGAAAGCAGGGACAGAGATTTTCATTGTAGAGTGGTAACCGAAATTAAATGAGAAAGCTAGAAATTCACTTCAAAAGGAAAAGGAAACGCGACATTAAATGGAGAGGGAAATAATTTGAGAAGCATAAGATGAAATATTAGCTTGAAGTTGAAAAGACCTGCTCTACTCAGGTGGATTAAAGAATAATGATCTTGAAGATAAATTACTAAACAGGAAGGAAAATGCTTGGAAGTGTCCATGTGAACACATGAGGCCTCGCAGGCATCGGGTGGAATAGATGGAGCTGTGAGCACCGCCTTCCCACATACAGCGCCGCTGTTAAGCTGTGGAATTGCAGGTGACTAGTCTCTGTGATGGGTTTGTATGCAGTGGAGAAATGTGGCCAGTGCAGAATGTGCTTTTAGCTGTGACTCTGATTTCAGGTACCAGAATGAGAATTTTCCTGGAATAACCTATCATGCAGCCCTAATCATGTGGCTTTAATTGTCCCTTTACTTAGGAATATGAGACCCAATCTAGTGCAGAAGCTAAATTTGTGAAGGAGCTGGACCAATGTGAAATGATTCTTCAGGCATCTGAATATGAAGACCTTGAGAACAAACCTGGGAGACTGCAGGACTTCTACAATTCCACAGCAGGTGCGCAATGCTGCTTTCAATAAGCATCACTTTAGTTCGGCTTAATTTACTCCTAGTGTATAAAATGTTAGTCATAACATTATATTATATGTCCACTGTTGTTACCCTCCTCTGACACTTTCGTATGGAGCATCTAAGAAGCAAATGGTGGGGTTTATGGTATGAGGTGACCTAGTGCACAAGAGCATTGCCGCCCTGGAGTCTGAGCACCAGGTTCACATCACACATACTAGCTGTGTGCTTCCAGGCAGTCTCCTGACCTCTCTGAAAAATGGAAATCATAATACCCTACTTAAGACATAGGCTGGTTTTGAGATTCAAGAGAGGTAATGTATGTCAAATGCATTATAATATGTAAGTGCTTTATAGATGTCAGGTCATGTTAAGGTGGAGGTAGAAATAGAGACTTAAAAAGAGAAAACTCCAAACAGCTGAAGTCACCGTCGTCATTATAGCTCTTCAGAGCACAGGCCTAAAGTCAAACTGCATGGGTTTGAATCCTGGTTCTGCCACATACAATTTACGTAACTTCCAGTAAATTAATACTTAACCTAGCTCTGGGCCTTTGTTTCCTTATTTTTAACTTGAGGATAATTACAAAATCTACTTTATAGGGTTATTTGAGGATATATGTGAAGTGCTTAGAAAATGGCTGGCAATAAGCCTTAGCTATCTTCTTTTTTTTTTTTTTTTTTTTTT